CTTCTTCGCAATGACGAGGTCCAACACGATGCTGTGTGCCACAGTAGCACCTCAGCCGCCCATTCCCCTGTGTGTGCTCGTCCTAGACGACTGATGCCGGCCCACCTGTGGACCGCGAAGGCGGAATTTGAATACATGCGGCCATTGGGGGCCATCAAGATGCGACTCGGGCCTACCATAGAGGCCACATTAAGGACCCATTGCAGCCTGACTCTCCGTCCTGAGAGGACTGATTTATGTCGTCAGTTGGCAGTCTTCCAAGCCCAGAATCTTAAAACTTGCATTGACATTGAAGCCTCACCTTGCACACGCCGGGGCGTTGGTCTGTCGAGCAGGCTGAGTCGCACATCTCGCTGGTCACAGCCTGACAGGGATGTGGTCCGGGAGTTGCGAATAAGGGCGCGTCCACTTTACCTTCTCCCGACTTCGAAGACTGATGAGGGGATTGCGCTATTTGCATAGCAGAACCAGCAGTAGGCCATAACCGTTTCAGCCGTCGACGCCGTGGCGACCTAAAATTCTCCCTTCTAGATGGCGTGATCCCTGCCGACGTAAGCGTTTAAGTCATTGGGACGAGTATTTTGTCCACTTTCAGCACAGAGGGGGGAGGACGCGTAGAGTCTTCTAGAACGTGTTCTTCACGTAGCCAGAGAAATCACTAGGGCTGAGGTTGTGCGCGTGGATTGGTTCTCGTGACAGATTTCTCCTGAGGAGTGGAGGCCCGATGATCATGAGACAATCTCCGTAAGGGAACAAGGCAATCGTCTGGGGACCTAGAGTTTGACGACGAAGTTGGCTTCAGTGCTTCACTGCTGTACATGCTTTATTCAGTTTTATGTTCAAAGAAGCGGACTTCGCTGGGTGCCCAGATATCCACCTTGTAAAGACCCAGTTCGAGAATAACCAGAGATTTCGTTATTAACGACGAAAGGTTTCTCGGCTCTACTTGCCCTTTATTTCCGAAGCATACTGCGCAGAATTTTGACCGACCAGAGCAAGGTACTTGTACTTGATACGGCTACGACCATGCCTGACCTAGCTGGCCTCCATGTCTTGATGAACTGTGTCGAGCCAGGTTTTGAACTGACCCCCTCTTCGACGCCTCCAATGGGGCAACGGTGCCGGATCGA